CGCCGCCTGCCCCGCCGCTGAGCGCCGCCGCGGGCGCGGGGCGGCGCGCCCGGATGGAGCGCTGAGGCGCTGAGCCCCGCCGGGCCGGGCCGGGCCGGGCCGAGACGTGACGATGTGGATGCGACGGCTCCCGGGAAGCAGGTAGGAGCGGGGAGCGATGGCCCCGCGAGCCGGAGCTTAGGGCATCCCGCCGCCGGGCGCGCTCGGGGAGCGGCGGAGTTAAAGCATGAACTTGGAGTGGGGAGTGGGGAGAGGGCTGGGGAGCGGAGCGGGGTGCGGGATGGAGAGCGGTGTGTCAAGCGGAGCGGGAAGCGCACGGTGCAGCCGGCGGCTGCCGGCGCCCGGGGAGGCGGCCGGTCCGCGCTCCGCGCCGTGCCGGGCTCCCCCCACTCGGTTCCCCCGCCCCGCTCGCCCGCCCTGCCCAGGAGATGGATCCGTGGTCAGCGTCCCCTCGCCGGCTGCTCGTTCCCCCCCTGGCCGCCCCGGCGGGGGCCGCTCGGGGGAAGGGGCTGGGGGGGCGTCCGGGCTGCGGGCAGATGGATGGATAGACGGATGGATGGATGGTTGGATGAATGGATGGACGGATAGATGGATGGATGTGTTTGGGAGATTAATCGAGAATTGCAAAGCAGAGGAGACGGAGGCAAAGTGTTACGTAACACATTTTCATTACCGCTGCGAAGTCATCTGAGCCGAAATCTTGTTATTTCTATGGTGCTGTGGCTGGAAAGCCTTGGCCCCGGCCCCTGCCTGTGTGCGGCCCCGGAGCCCCAGCAGTACCTGGCTTTTGGTGGTTTGAGCCCATCTCAGTGGCATCGAGTGAAAGCAGCAGCGGGTTAAACAAGTGAGACCCTAAGGAAAAGTGAAATCCACGATCTGTTTTGTTCTCCCCAGCCGGCTTTTTTTTTTATTTCGAAAGCCCTGGGTTTGAGCGGTTGTGTTGTGCAGGGGTCAAACCCCAAACCTCCCTCCACCGAGCGGGACGGTGGATCGGGCACATCACCTGCTGCTGGGGAGAGGGGTCCCAAGGCGAGCAGTCCCGAGCGGCCACCCCACTCCCGCAGCTCGCAGCGGGCCCTGTGGCTGCTCCCTGGGGAGCAGGAGGGCTGTGTGGGCAGGGGAGCTGCGGGGTGAGCGGATGGTGGGTGTAGCCCCCACGCAGCACCTCGGGGAGCCCATCAGCCCGCGCCGCCCCCCGCGCCCCTGCGCTCTGGCAGAACATGGCTGCAGCTGGGGGGCACGGAGGGAGGCAGGCAGGGCCCCCCGAATCCACGGACGGCGAGTGGTGATGCGAGAAGCCTTTGTCTGCCACCCGTGGGAATCGCTGGAGGCTTTGTCCCTCTGTCCGGGCTGTGGATGGAGTCCTGGAGGGTGAAACCTGAACTGAGGTTTTGTCTGTGCTGAGCAGCTGGGGGAGGCCCTTGGCCTCTCTTTTACACTCCCGTGCCGCGCCGCATATTCCAGAGGCACGTGGCGAGCTGGCTGCCAGTGCCCCCCTTCTTTGTCCCGTGCCTCTGGCTGGTGCACCCCGACAGCCCGGGCACACGAGCACCTTCACGCTGCCGCTGGAGATGTCTGTCTGTCCGTCCGTCAGCCGAGGATGCGCTGCTGCGTGCGGGAAGGACGGAGTCTGTGGTGATGTAGTGACCTTAGGAATTCCTCCCGGCGAAAGCACCCGAGGGTTTTCTCAGGGTGCCACGCGTTTGGATTTATTTCGTGTCAGGTGAAAGCCCAATGGAGCTGGAGGGCCGTTTCCCGAGGCTGGCGCGGCAGAAGGCTGTAATCCTGGGAACAGAGGACGCCCTCTGCTTTGTTATTTTTGAGGAGAGTTTAGCAATGGAAACAGGAGCCCTCTGCTTGCTTCCCTCCTCGATTCATTCGCCTTGCGAATTTCTGTGCTGTGCATCCTGGATCCCCAGCACCAGGCTGTCCTTTCTGCCACCTCATCAGCTTCCAGTCCCTCCGTGTTTTATTTTTAATAAGAGATAACTTTACTGCTAACCTTGCCTGCTGCTCTCCCTTCTCTCTTACTCTAATTGCTTCTGGCTTTATTTCTGACATTTCCCATGTCATTTCTCCTCATTTTCTCGAAGACTACTAGAAAAACAGCTTCAGGAGAAGCAGTGGAGCTTTGCAGCGCCCGTTTCACCCCGCGCAGCCTGTGCCTGGAGCGGCTGCCTGCGGCGGGGAGATGGCACCGTGCTGCTCCTTTCAAGTCGGATCCCTTTCGCCCGGGGCGGTGGCAGTGCCTGACCTCGCTGTGAGCTGCGCTCCTCTGCCGGGGAGGGCAGGACCTTTACAACTGCATTCTCAGAATTATCTGATGAAGGGGAGCTGCCGCTCCCCGCTTCGGAGCGGGGCTGAGCGAGCAGCGCTGCCCTGAAAGCCCCTGCGAGGTCCCAGCGATGCTCCAGCCCCGCTCTGCTCTTGGCAGGTGTGGGTGTTGCGGGGCAAAATCTGTTCTTTTGGGAGGTGGCAGTGGCTCTGTCACTCCCTGAGTGTGCACAGACATACGTGTGCGTGCACACGCCTGCGTCAGTGCCTGCGCCCGCCTGCGAGGGCACGGCAGCTTTCTGCAGCGTGCCAGGCTTCCAGCGCTGCCGAGGACTTCCCCTCCACAGCTATGAATATAATGTTTTAAACAATATGCCACGGTTTTTACAGTGTTGAGCTCTGGAGTGATTTGCAGTAGGAGTAAAACCACCGTTTGCAATTTCTAGGCGATTGTATAAAGCAACTCATTAAAAGCATACATCCTTGCACATTGGCTCCGTGGAAACTTTATGGGCCTTGTACTTACTGCCAAAGCAAACATTTTCCATGAATTTCACCCATCAGGTTCACACTGTCAAATGTAGATTCAGCCGCTCGTCAAAGATGCAAGCCTTGCAGTCTGGGAAGTAATGAGAGCAGTAAGCAGTGGGAGTTAATGGCCTCCACTGAGGAGTCCTTACTCATCCTGCATCCACACAGGGGCTGAGCTTGCTGCTCCCGGGTGGATTGATTGCCACAGAAATTCATCTGGTGTCACTGGCTATGATACTTAACAGGCACAATAATGCTTGAATAAACTGCACTTTTATGCAGCGGTTTGTACCTCCACGCTGGCAGCAATTTCCCAGATGAGGCGAGGGGAGCGGCGCAGGGCTCCGGCAGCCGCTTTCCCAGAGCGTGAATAATTGTTCTAATAACACCGGGGCCGCCGCCTTGCCTTTGTGGTGTCTCCAGTGGGGTGGCAGGTGGGAGTTGTCGTGGTGCTGCCGCTTGCCTGGGATGCTTGGGGGCTGCCCCGTGTGGCAGCTGCTGTGCCAGCCTTCGGCAGGCGGGACACGGGACGGGCAAGCTGCCGGCCCAGCTGCTCCCGCGGCCGGAGCACCACGGCTTGGCTCTGGTCATCTGCTGCAAAGAAGGAGTTGCTAATGTTCCTTCAGAGCCCAGAGTGAAACAGGGAAAGGCAGCCGGGCAGAGGACAGATCTCCAGCCGTGTTCCCACCTTCCCTCACCCAGTGTGATCCTCAGGCTGTCCCAGCATGCCTTATTTACCTCAGTGTAGGTATGGATGGATACAGGCTCCCAAGGGCAGCTCCATAGGGTGTGAATAAGCCGCGGAACTTCCAGCAGCTCTGAGGTTTATTATGAAAATGTATGCATGCCTAAGCTTTTAAATATAGCTAATGGGAGAAGTCCTGGGAGGGAAGATTACCAAGATTACTGGAACCTCAGTGTGCTGAGCAGGAGCTGCTCTGCTCTGGGTAGTGGTGCCTGTTGTTCTCCTTGAAGGCTGGTGGTGTCCAAGTGGGCAACAGCAGTTCAAGCCCAACAGAGTTTGGGTTGGATAGCAACAGTCTTCTAGCAGGATAATTCCTGGAGGCTGAGTGTGTTGGGTGGATCAGTGGATGGTGTGACATTGTTGGTGCTTTCACCCCCTCCTTTAAAACAAAGAGGTTTTACTTCTGTTCTTCCTTCCATCTTTCCTCCCTTCCATCTTCCTTCCCTCCCACGTTGGGTGGTGCTGCTGGGAGGGGGTTCCTGGCACAGACCAGCAGTCACTGTGGGTTATGCAGGGCTATTCCCAAACCTGCTGCTTGGCCCTTCCTTGCCTTGGCTCACTTTTCGTTTTCGAAACGTTTTCGTGAGAGTGGTATTTTTCACTAAAAGAATGTTAAACTCTGGACCTGAAGTGACTCCTTAAAAATGGAATTTGAATTGATATGAATATTTCCTGTGGCTCTTCTTTACTGGGACTTGCACCTACAGACTTTGATAGCTTATATAATTTCCTGTGATGGAGATGTACTTCATCTAATTTCACTTGGAAATGCATTGATTAAATCAGAACTGCTGAGAGATTTAAACTGAGTCTCAGTGGCCTGAACTTAACCGTGGGAGGTTTACCTGCCTTCATCCTTCAACATTAATTTGGTTTTATGAGGATTCCTTGTGAAATGAGGTTTTGTCTGCTGCTGAATCTCTTCTGCTTTCTGGGTTTATCAGTTACTTTCTCTGGCCTTGGTGGCTCTGCAAGGCAAAGCTGCACTAAAGCCTCCGTTCAGTGCAGCGCTGAGCTCCTTCACTGGGGACACGGTGGGGACCCATGTGCATTTTGGCTCCATCACCCCCAGTGCTCCCAAAACTCTGCCCAAGCTGGAGGCAGAGTGCCCACACTGCCTGTGGTGTGGTGGCAGGGCTGGGTGCTGTGCCGTGGGTGCTCACATGGGGCCAGGGATGCTGGGTGTGATGCTCCAGGAGCAGGGTGGAGACCTGCCCCAAGTGCAGCTGTGTGGGAGTGTCCTCCCATCAGTGCTGAGAGATTTGGCATTTGTGGTCCCAAGCAACACCCAGAAAAGGAGGAACAACCCAGCTTGGTTGGAGGTGGATGAGCAGCTCCATGGAGATGAGCAGGGGTGGGGTCAGCAGGCGCTGGGTGCCTGGGGCAGGGGGCCAAACACCCACTGGGACTCGCCTGAGGACTTATAGAAATAAATAAAGCCAGTCATTCACAAAGTGCTCATTTCCAACTCCGATCTGCAAAATGTCTCCTTGTGACTTGGAAATGATGTGTAGGCAGGAGATACGCTTTGACATGCGACGATTTTTGTTGAAGTTTGCTCTGAAGGTCTTTCTCAGCAGCTCCGCTTTCC